ATCTACATTCGCCTGTGTTCCACTCATTTACCTAATGTTCCAGGTACATCAAACTATAGGTAATTCTCTGAACATGCATCCATGCTTTTTCTCAGACTCTTGTCTATACCTGGAGTACTCTATCTCTTCCTCTCTGCATCTGGAACTTCAAAGCTTTCCTTAAGATCCAGCACCTGTGGGCGCCTGGGTGGCTCAGTTGGTTAAGCGACTGCCTTCAGCTCAGGTCATGATCCCGGAGTCCCAGGGTCGAGTCCCACATCGGGCTCCCTGCTCAGCGGAAAGTCTGCTTCTCCCTCTGACCCTCCCCCCTCTCATGCTCTCTCTCTCCCTCATTCTCTCTCTCAAATAAATAAATAAAATCTTTAAAAAAAAAAAGATCCAGCACCTGTTATACATCTGTGCCCAAGAATTACTCTGTTGCCACTACATTCCGATGCTTTCACTCTCCACTGTCTGTTAAATTAACTACTCCCCTTTCTGAATTCCTGTGGCATTTTTTTATGTACCTATAGGTGTTGTAAATAATTTATGTACCTCTTCCTCCCCTATCAGACAGAGATTTAAATGCAGGGATGTGTTTTGTTCATCTCAGAATCTTCACTATGCGCTATACAAAAGACACAATGATATGACTTGTTTATTAAATGAAATGAAAAATCCCAAGTTGATTGTAGCTGCTTTTCTGTTTAGAAATAAGGGGGTCTGGGACCTAAGGTCTTATGCACTCATGAGGACATAGACTGCTTACTGCCATTTTGTAGGACTACAAAGTTCTTAGGACTCTCACTTTGTAGACTGGTCTCTGATGTTGGTTCTATCATGGATTCCTTATAAAACAACTACAGAAGCCACTTCCACGTCTCACTTCTGATATTAAGGTAGTCCTCAGGCCATGGGCAATGACCACTGAGGCCCAAGCAAGTTTGTGGGCAAAGCACTGGGAAGGGAACTGCCAAGACACAGGGAAATAGCCCCCAGCCAAACCACAGGCTAAGCTGAGGAGCTCTGCAGTACGTAGGCTGAGGTCAGAACAGAATAATGAAGAAATCATTCAGGCAGGACAGGAGAATCCTGGTGCTCTAGTGGCAGAGAGGCTAGATATAGAACCACAAAAGCCAGTGGGAAGGATCTAGCACGGCATGCTAAGACGTTTACACATCTCCAAGAGACAATGGGAGGCCAGGTGAAGTTTTTTAAGAAGAGACATAAAATAATTTATCATAGAATTTGGACTTCAGACTCAGTGTCTAGCTGTACATTTAGGGTCTACAGAGAGAAGAAACCTGGAGGTTTGAAAGATAGCACTGTAGGAAAGGCATGAAAGTCTACAAGTCCAGGGCATAGGATGAGGGTGAGGAAATGGAGGTGGGGGTGGGCATAACAGGAGGTATGCCTTGAAACAGAAGTTGGGGTCCGATTCCAAAGGGCTTGTAAGACATGGTAGGTGCCAAAGGAACCAAAGAAGGATTTTAAGCAGGGGAATGAAAGAGGGCAGAGGGAAACTGAATGTGCGGCCAGGCTTCTTGCTGAGCTTCAGGGGTCAATCACAGATAAGAAGAGATCCCTGCCACGGCAAGGTGGTTCATGGAGAAACAGGGAGACAGTCCCACTCCCTTAAGAGAGTTTGCTTTGGGTCTATAGTTTATTGCTGGGATCTTGACATCAGTTACTGGATTAGATCCAAATGGGGCTCTATCAAGAATATGTTTATTTAATAAAGTCAAGATGGTTTTTCACCATTATTTCACCCATTCAATTATTAAAAAATAATTGGGGTGGGGCGCCTGGGTGGCTCAGTTGTTAAGCATCTACCTTCAGCTCAGGTCATGATCCCAGGGTCCTGGGATGGAGCCCCACATTGGGCTCCCTGCTCTGTGGGAAGCCTGCTTCTCCCTCTCCCACTCCCCCTGCTTGTGTTCCCTCTCTCGCTGTGTCTCTTTCTGTCAAATAAATAAATAAAATATTTAAAAATAACAACAAAAAAACCTTAGGATCATCCCTGATTCTCTCTTTAAAAAAAAAAAATTGGGGTGCCTGGAATGCTCAGTCGGTTAAGTGTCTGACTCTTGATTTCAGCTCAGGTCATGATCTCAGGGTCATGATATTGAGCCCCTTATTGGCTCCATGCTGAGCGTGGAACCTGCTTAAGATTCTCTCTCCCCCTCTCCCCTTCTCCCTCTGCAGCTCCCCTCCCCCCCACATGTATGCGTGTGTGCACGCCCTCTTCTCTCTCAAAAAAAAAACAAAACAAAAAAAACCCATGTTACTTCTGAACAGGGTTGTTAATTGCAGGTTGTCTGCTTTAGCTGGTTTAAGCAGAAGGCGTCTATAGTCTGTAATACCTTACAAAGTATCTTGGAATGTCTGGAACCAGGCTTGGTTGTTATAGAGAGACCATGGCAGTTTATAAGAAAGAAAGAGGATTTGAGACAGATGATATGCGACTGATGATACTTTCTTCTTTCAGAAGTCAGTCCAGATTCTAGTTCAATAGCTGGAGAAAATAATGGGCAGAACTTATGATGGCACATTCACCCGATTCAGATACAAACACAATATAACTATATGTTTACTTGAAGGAACTACTTTTCAAAGGGAAAAATAAAAGACAAATAGAGATTACACATCACATAGAACAGATATAACATGAAGCAATCTTTTAAGTGGGTCACATGGAAATCCTATTCCATGCCCACAAAAGCAGAGCTTCCCTGGGCTCATGTTATTATTATTTTTTTAAATTAGTTTTATTGAGAAATAAGTTATATGCAAGAAAATTCACCAATTTTAAGTGTGCAATTTGATAAGCTTTGACAAATCACTAGAATTGTAACCAACATGATATAAAACAGTCCATCCCTCCATAAATTCTCCCATACTCCTTTGAAGTCAATCCCTTCCCCTGCAACGTAGGCCCTGGGCTATACTGATCTTCTGTCTCATTAATTTTGATTTTCTAGAAAAAGAAATGATACAATATGTAGTCTTTTGTGGCTGGCATCTTTTATTTAGTACAATGTTTCTTAACTTTTAAAATTATCGCCCTTATAAAGAGCCTTTTTAGCCATTTGTTCCTTGTTTCTCCCCTCCTTATGAAATTTTAATACCATAGATATACTCTATGTCTATTTATGTACTTATGTATGTTTATGCTTTATACATAGAAAGTAAGGTTTTTTCACACCTCAAGAATACACTTTTGAGAATATGATTTACATGTATGCAAGTATAATGCTTTTGTGATTCATCAGTGATTCATTTTTGTTGCTGGGTAATTTTGATTATATGAAGAGACATTCATGAAGTGAGTAAAACCAATTGCAAATGTGTTACAAAGGCACTAAGAGTATAATTCAACTACTGTTCTTCCTCAAATTTGATCCTCAGTCTCCCTGTTGTCAGTAAACAGATCTCTAATCACACAATTGTTCCAGATAGAAATCTAGGAGTGATTGAGATAACTTCTTTCCCTTTGTTTCCCCATATACAATCCATTAAATTCTATCAATTTCACCTCTAGATTCTTTCTTTTTTTTTTTAAAGATTTTACTTATTAGATAGAGAGGGAGCATGAGAGGGGTGGTTGAGGGGGGCAGAGGAATAAGCAGACTCCCCACACTGAGCATGGAGCCCGATTTGGGGCTTGATCCCAAGGCACTGAGATCATGACCCCAGCTGAATGAAATGAGATGCTCAGCCGAATGAGCCTCCCAGGTGCCCCACCTCTAGATTATTTCCTGAATCTGGTCTCAAGGGATCAGATTTTGCTACCAGAACATTCTAGACATGGAAGGATTTTTTAATCTTAAAAGAAATGGGAAGCCACTGAAGAGATTTAAATAAGACAATGAAAGGACTTGATCAGGGGCGCCTGGGTGGCTCAGTCGTTAAGCATCTGCCTTCGGCTCAGGTCATGATCCCGGGGTCCTGGGATCGAGCCCCGCATCGGGCTCCCTGCTCCGCGGGGAGCCTGCTTCTCCCTCTGACCCTCCTGCCTGTGTTCCCTCTCTCGCTGTGTCTCTCTCTGTCGAATAAATAAACAAAATCTTTAAAAAAAAAAAAAAAAAAAGAAAGGACTTGATCAGTGTAATTAAAAGATTACTAAATCTTTCACTTAATAAATAATAAATTAGAACGTGGATAATGAGTTAGAAGGGACCAAGACTATTTAGGGAAAGGATCTTTCCAGAGGAAAAATGATAGTGGTTCTTTTACACATTTGAGGGTGTGGGAATGGGAGAATTGGGTGATATGCTGCATTTTCAGTGGGGCCCATGAAAACTTAGCCAAGGTCTCACTGCTAGATGATAACAGAACTATGACAAGAAATTCACATATATACTCCTTTTGATTGTTGTTGCTTTGACTTACCTAATTTTCTTTGGCCAAACTAATCAGTATCCTAAATGAATTATGTATATTCTTAAATCTTTTGCTGATGAGTTCAAAGGAATTAGAGAATTAGAATCATACTTAAAGAAAACATTTTGTGTACTTAACACATGCACTCAACTTTCCTTCGATGTTGTAATTTTTCCCCCACTGGCTGCTGCAGTACTAGTATCCATGAATCAGCTTCAGATGGTCTGCAATCTAGTTTTATGCAAACTCTTTTTTTTTAAAGATTTTATTTATTTATTTGAGGGAGAGAGCACCCTGGGACCATGACCTGAGCTGAAGGCAGTCCCACTCAGCCACCCAGGCATCCTTATGCAAACTGTTTTGACTATGTACACACAGGCACACACAGACATCTTTGGGGGCCTCTTGATGAGGTCTTTAACCTATTAATGCTTCAGAATCAATGACTTACTATGTTTTCAGTCTCGAGTATACAGATATGCATATGACATAGTCTTTATTCTTAAGGTAAAGTTTACATCATATAAACAGATAAATGACAAAATCACATTGCTAGTGCTAAGAAGGAGAGAAGAACAAAGCTCTGGAAGTTTGTCAGTTATATTGGTGTTTCCTCTCTTCCAGGTGACTTCTGAAGTATGGCTCACAACATTTCTTCCTGCAGCCCTATATTGACACCCCATTTAACCAGGCTCTACTTCCTAGTACTCATTGGAGGGCTGGCAGGCATCATCTCCATTCTGTTCCTGCTGGTGAACATGAACACCCGATCTGTAACTACCACAGCGGTTGTTAACCTGGTGGTGGTCCACAGTGTTTTTCTGTTGACAGTGCCTTTTCGCTTGACATATCTCATCAAGCACACCTGGACATTTGGGTTGCGCTTCTGCAAATTTGTGAGTGCCATGCTACACATCCACATGTACCTCACATTCCTGTTCTACATGGTGATCCTGGTCATTCGGTACCTCATCTTCTTCAAGCGCAAGGACAAAGTAGAATTTTATAGGAAGTTCCATGCTGTGGCTGCCAGTACTGGCATGTGGCTGCTGGTGATTGTGATTGTGGTACCCGTGGTTGCTTCTCAGTATGGAACTCACCAGGTGTACGACGAGCAACACTGTTTTAAATTCCACAAAGAGCTTGATCGTGTATACGTGCGAGTCATCAACTATATGATAGTTACTACTGTCATAGCCACTGCAATGGTTCTCTTAGTCTTCCAGATCTTCATCATTATGTCAATGGTGCGGAAGCTACGCCACTCCTTACTATCCCACCAGGAGTTCTGGGCCCAGCTGAAAAACCTATTTTTTATAGGAGTTATCCTTATTTGCTTCCTTCCCTACCATTTCTTTAGGATCTATTACTTGTACACGGTGGCACACTCACATGACTGTAATGACACTGTTGCATTTTATAATGAAATCTTCTTGAGTGTAACAGCAATTAGCTGCTTTGATTTGTTGCTCTTTGTTCTTGGAGGAAGCCGTTGTAAGCAAAAGATAATTGACCTATGGAATTGCCTCTTGTGCCATTAGCCACAAATTACAGTATTCAAAATTCCTTTATACTGGGAGTAAAAATGGGCATAGGGAGGTAGGAAGGGTTATTTCATTACTTGATTAAAACCATGCCTTAATGCGCCCAAATAAAAGGACTATAAAATGTCAGAGCATTCATTCTGGTCCTTATTTAATCCCTACCACCTCTAAATGATGCCTTTAGAAAGACTAGTGATGTTCAGTCCACCTGGAGTTACAATACTGCATTATTTTCCAATAGGTCTACTTGGCCCATCTGGGCACCATGGGCCTACTGGTTTCTGAGCTTCACCAGCTTATTTTAGTTTCATCAGTTTGAAACATGATCTTCTGTAGGCTTTGGATTGGATTCAACCCTCTAGTTCTTTTCATTTCACTTAACTTTAGGTAAATTAACCCTGGCAATGAATCAGCCCCAAAGACACAAACTCTATTGGCTAACCAGATAAGATATCCATTCAACTCCCACCCTGACAAATAGCAGATAAAGGGGGAGAACAGTAAGAAACTTTTCTAGATTATCATAACTTTCATGGGAAGTCACTTATCTAGAAATCAAGAGAAACAGAAGTCCTTGTGATCTTCTGCTATAACAAGGTTATCTAGATTTGTCCTTTGAAAGGTCAAGTTTAAGGACATGGGATCAACATCCTCAATAACTCCAAAAATCATTTAAAAGCTTACTAAACATATATGTAGAAGGGTGAAACTATAAGTTAAAGAATATTCCTGACCAATATGCTGCTAAGCATTAAAATGAGTTCCTGAGGGAAGTGATTACATTTTTCCCTTTCTGTTTTTTGAGAAAAATCTCTAGATGTCTTGGCCACAGTTAATTTAGATTTACCTTGGAAACAGAAAGTTACACTCTTTAGAGTTTCCTTCTCTCCTTAAGGTTATGAGTCTTTAAATAAACGAAAACAATATTCTTAAAAAAAGAACTTTTGAGAAATATATAGAAAAATTAATTTAGACTATGAGATTAGGCTACTAAGTTGATAGATAGGCTTGTGGGCTTTTTCCCTTCTTGCCCATATTTCTACTAGTTCCCTCAAAGTTTCATAATTTTGAAACTTTCTGAGGAACTGATCCAGTTTCATATCTAATGCTTCAGAACTAAAGCAATTTATGATAGGAATAGAAGAATAGAATGAATTAAGGTAAAAAATTTTTTCCCAGCAAAATAAAGGATCAGAATTCAAAGACTTATTTTAAATTTGTTATACTCTATGGATCTACAAATTTACCAGATGAATAAGAAATATCCCTGTGAGTTCCTATAATCACTAAAATTACTAAGTCATAGAAGTTAATTTTGAGGAAGAAAAAGCAGCAACATGCTTCACAGACTTGTTTCCAAAATTTTCCTACTTTAAAATTTATGTTCTTGGGCGCCTGGGTGGCTCAGTCGTTAAACGTCTGCCTTTGGCTCAGGTCATGATCCCAGGGTCCTGGGATCGAGTCCCACATCGGGCTCCCTGCTCAGTGGGAAGCCTGCTTCTCCCTCTCCCACTCGCCCTGCTTGTGTTCCTGCTCTCACTGTCTCTCTCTGTCAAACAAATAAATAAAATCTTTAAAAAAAAAAATTTATGTTCTTTTTTAAGTTATATTTCCTTTATTTCTTATTTGTCTTCTTTTCCCATTTTTTCTTAGTTTTTTTCCTGCTCATTTTGACTTATAACATTTGTAAATTTCTAAGACCCATAGAAGTTTTAAGAAAATTTGTTACATCCATAAATAAGAAAACAGTAAAATATAATAGAAATAGTATAGAATGATATAAATAGTAAAATATTAAAATTTCTAAACATTTATGGAAATTATATCAAATTTCTCTTCTTATATATCTGTGTCTTACTATCATACTATCTGTTAGCTTGTAAATTATATTACAATCTCTTCCAGATTTTAAATTTGTTGAGCTCAGGAGATTATGTTTTTCCCTGTATTATTATATATTATAATAAAGGGCTTATTTCTTTGGATCTATAAGAAATATCATCCAACATACAGAGATGCAGTATTCCCTAATATAAAATAACTTATTAATATTTAGAATATAATTGGAAATTTTCAATTTGTCTGTTCATTGTCTCTAATTGCTATGAAAATGAATCTCATGCAGGAGTAGGGGCATCACTGGCCTCTCAGGCCATTTTTGGATATCAAAATTATAAGAGTGTACTACCGGCATTTTGTTGTTGGGGCCAGAGACTAGACATTTTGCCTTGCACACAACTCTCTGCATAATAAATAATTATCAGGTCTTGCTGTATATTTGAATGTTCTTCCAGACATTTATGAAATGAAACATATGCTCATAATAATTAGTCAGGTTTTGTTTAGTTTTCATAAATACATAGTAATTTTTGGTACGGTTTTAATTTTCTGAATTTTCCAGAAATGTAGCTACCATGGATATGGAGGAAAGATTTTTTTTTATTATGTTACGTTAATCACCATACATTACATCATCAGTTTTTGATGTAGTGTTCCGTGGTTCATTGTTTGCATATAACACCAAGTGCTCCATGCAGAACATGCTCTCTTTAATACCCATCACCAGGCTAACCCATCCTCCCACCCCCCTCTCCTCCAGAACCCTCAGTTTGTTTTTCAGAGTCTGTAGTCTCTCATGGTTCGTCTCCCTGGAGGAAAGATTTTATTCTGTTTTCCTCAGAACTTTACCAAGAGTTGCTCATTCGTTTGGAAAAGCACACTATCAATGTCAATACCATCTGTGGCATTAAAATACAACACAACACACCTATAAACAATATTTGTAGCAGTTGTATTCAGGTAGGATACTAGATATAGGTGCCAACATCAGACTGCCTGATTTGTCTCCTTTTGTGATCATCTCTGAGCATTTACACATTAAAATATATTACTTTATTATAAGTAACTTTCTCCTTCATTACTCATTTATGTTACAGTTAGAACATTATATATATAATACCGTAGGAGGGTTATATTATCTGTAAATTTTATTTTAGAATGGTAAAAGTATTACCAAATATTTGGGATAAAAAGTAAGGTTTTGGGTCTGCAAGCATTGAGACCAACTGAGCTAGCACAGAATCACTTTATTTTTTTTAAAAAAGATTTTATTGATTTATTTGACAAAGACAGACACAGCAAGAGAGGGAATACAAGCAGAGGGAGTGGGAGAGGGAGAAGCAGGCTTCCAGCGGAGCAGGGAGCCAGATTCAGGGCTTGATCCCAGGACCCTGGGATCATGACCTGAGCTGAAGGCAGATGCTTAACAACTGAGCCACCCAGGCGCCCCCAGAATCACTTTAAAGGGGAGATTTACCAATTATGACATTATGAACAGAAAAAATATTCCTATATTTTGGGAATTTTTTTTTAGAGAGAGAGAGTACATGCACACATGTGCACGTGTGTGAGATGGGGGGGGAGGGGGAGGAAGAGAATCTCAAGCAGGCTCCATGCTGAGCATGGAGCCCCACGTGGGGCTCAATCTCATGACCCTGAGATCACAACCTGAGCTGAATGCTTAACTGACTGTGCCACCCAGTTACCCCTATTCTGGGAATACATAACCTCAGCTTGATTCAATTATAAATTATTTCTTTTGCTTCTGTAGTGATTAAAAGAGTAAACACAACTTCTAAGAAAATAAAACATGTGGGGTTTTTTTGTTTTTTTGATAAGACAAAGGCATTTCCCTGAGCCTCACAACTCTCAAATTGGCTCATGGTCAATATCTACCAGATTTTAAACCCAGGGATAATGACAATTTTGGAGGCACAGAAAGAAAGATTGCTTCCGGCACCCATTAAGAAGCTTTCTACTCAGCCTTTGTTCATTTCTTAATTTTCCTCTGAAAGGTTCTTTGAGTTCATTTCTTCCTTAACCTGACATAAATTAGGGAGAAAGAAACTATTTTACCTGTAGGTGAAATGAGCTTTGTGTGGAATGATTCAAGAAGTGGTGAAAATCCCCAAATCCTCCTCTAATCCTCCTCAATGGGGCTACCATTAAAACTGCATTCCTAGGTTAATAAAGCAGTTGTGAAGGAGGGCACTGAGCTGAGATGTCCTCAGTCATCAGCTCTTGAGTGGCAAGTCAGTGAGGTGAAAGTGTGAAGTTGTCATTTCTTAGATTATGCAGATTTTGCCCACTTAATCTCTAATAAAATGAGGCACAGACCAAGGACTCTCACACTTACTGGGGGTGGGAAGAACAAAGAAACTCTCTTTGTGATAGGGGCTGATTACAGCAAATTGGAAATAGTTGGTGACAAAAACCCTATAGTAAAGGGACACAGTGATGGTGGATTTGCTTGGATAATGCTGAGAAAGCTCAGGATATAAAAAGGCATCCACAGATATCAGAAACTAGGCATTAGCTGAACCCTGAGAAAAACTTTGGCCATTGCATGGCTGAGCCTATTTCTGTAACAGAATGGGCATGCCAGGTATTTGACAAGACAGAACTCAGAAAAATGAGCAAGTTCTATTACCTGAAGAAGTAAATGTATTGTCTGAAACTTCCAGAGATTAGGAGCTGGGCCCTAATATCAAAATGTACCAGATGGAGGCTTCAACCTGGGAAACACTGTAAAAGCCCAGTGGTCAGCACCAGGCACCACATTTTGGGTAGGATTACCAATGGTGGTGAGGATGGAAAAGGTGGGGATAGATGCTGAAACTGCTCAAAGCCTTATGCTTTAGGCTCAGTCTCAGCCTTCAGATGGAGAGGAATCTGGACAACCAGCAGAAGCTATCAGGGGAGGACAGAAAACTACGTCTGACAACAAGTAGCTGAGAGGAAGAGGGGCCTGAGTAAGCCTTGGCTAGGAGTTCTGAGCAAGCAAGGGACAGTAGGAAGATGCTGAGCTCTTAGAAAGCAGACAGGGCAACAAAGGCGGCCCTTAAGAAAGACAGTTTTGAACAGAAGATGAGAAGATGCTGGATATCATTGCTTTATTTGAATTTTGTCCCAGTATTTTATGTCATCAACAGTGAGTG